ACAAACAAAAACAAGCCAACCAGCGCTGCCACCAGTGTAACGCGCGTAGTTTCTATATACGAGCTTCACAGTTCCTACCGCGCGCTGGCTCGTGGGTTCTTGGCTTTGTTTCAAGGAGGACAACGACAGGGAGCTCGGCAGATCATAACACTTGATTTATTAAACATGAAGAGGTAAACATCATGAATTATGCCACATCCAATTACACAGTGCGCGTCATCTCTCTCTCTACGCTCTCACAACTGCGTGCAGATCATTAGGCTTGTTTGAGATGAGCAAATTCTGCGCAGAACCGATCACCAGTGATCACCGTGAGATGCATGCCGGTTAGAAAAGTGTCCGAGTTACGTCTGACTTGCTCTGATGTCATGCTGACGTGTGCTGCAGCCGCCTACTCTCGCCTTCATTTCAGGCAAGGCAAGGTGTATCTCAAACAAGCCTATTCTCTCCCGCGATCCTAATCGTGGGTCTCTGTTCTCGCGATATTACCTCTAGTTCTTATTTAAAGTTATAGAACATTCATTTTAACCTTAAATTTAACTCCCTACATAATACTCCCTTACCCAACAAGAAATGTCCTCATTTCTAACACAACCCATATACTTATATGGCACAAACAAAATTTAGACATAAAAGTCAAAAAAATATATTACCCAAAATCTGTATCAAAAGGGCCAAAACTCACAAAAACACGTTTAACAATAATGCAACATAAATCACATAGGCCCATAAGGATTCAGTATATCAAGAAACTCTGCATTAATATTCCCATTGTTACATATATTAACCCTGTACATAAAAAAAACAAGTACAGAGAACATTTAGCAAATCAGTAAAGTGCAAAACCCTTCAAATGGTAAGGCAATCTACGTTCCCTGGGAAGCACATTCCGAGTGGACACTGGGGTATCAGGTGATTCAGAAACACCTGTTGACAGTCCAGCTTCAGGTGTTTCCAGTGTTGGAATCAACAGTCCAGAGTCAGAGCCCTGCACATTTTCCATAGGGCAAGAAGGTTGTAGGGCTCTGGGCGGTTGCAATTGTGGGTGAGGTTGCAACTGAGGCAACGGTGGTGGTTCCAACAGAACCTGAGGTGTGGGGAGTCCCGGTGGCACAGGTGTAATGTGGGGTGGGAGGAGTCCAGACAAGGTGTTCAGAGTGGTCGGCTGAACAGGGTGGGAAGGGGAGGTAAGGGTATGGGTGTTCTTTGGGTCAGTGATGTATGGTTTCATGCGATTGTAATGAATGATTTTTGCTTTCGCATGAGGTCTAGATACATCCCGAACTTCAAAATTAACAGGGGTGGAACTACCAAAGGAGCATATTGGTTGCAAAACCTCATATGGGCCCACCCAACGTGGATACAGTTTGTTGTGGCGGTGGGCAGGATCATCCACTAAAACCAAGTCACCACTGTTATACGGCGTATATTTCAAATGACGATCATAGTTCAGGCGTTGTTGGTCTTGAGCCTTGTCTCGGAAAGCAGTTGCAGAACGATAAGCACAGGCCAGTCTCTTACGCAATTTGTTAACATATGCTGCTGGTGTGCCCGCTGTTGCTGAACTGGAAGCATTATTGTCCTGGAGTAGTGTGTCCAAGGGAACGCGGGCTTCCCGGCCATGAGCCAGAAAGAAGGGTGTCAGTCCTGTGCTAGTGTGCTTAGTGGTGTTATAAGACAATGCAACCGCGGGAGGTGCTCATCCCACTCCATACCTGAGTCAAAAAGTTGTTTGGAAAGTTCATCTTTTAGAGTGCGATTAAAGCGCTCAACAGCTCCGTCACACTGAGCATGATAAGGGGACGTACGGAGCTTCTTGATTGACAACAAGTTACAAAGGTGCTTTATGAGGTCAGATTCAAACTGTCTGCCCTGATCCGAGTGTGGGGCCTCAGGGACACTGCTGTGGAATGTAGGGGTCAAATATACAACCTGCCACAGAGACAGCTGTCTGATCTTTTAATGGATAGAGATTGACAAACTTGGTGTACAGGTCCATCGTTACTAGTACATAGCGGTGACCCTAGGTTGAAATAGGCAACTCTGTTATGTCTGCGGCCACTATTTTGAATGGACGATCTGGAGAGATAGGAATGAGTGGCGCCTGCAGTCGGGGCACAGGAGAACGCCGCGACTGGCAAGCCGTACATTGGGAGCAATGTCTGGTGATGTCTGAAGACATGTAAGGCCAGTAAAAGGACCGCATAGCTCTGTCTAATGTTTTGGCCAAACCATAATGACCCACTGATGGGTGTCCATGGACATGACTGAGTATTTCAGGAATCAATGATGTAGGAATGACTACCTGCAAGGCATTATCACCAAAAGAGTTGCGTAAGTGTCTGCATAACACCCCATTGTGAATGATGAGGCGACTAAACTGTGTCCACAGTTTTCTGAGATATGGGGAAGCATCACGTAGCCTCCATAAGGGTGGTCTACGCCCTGTTTCTATCCAAGAG